TTTTCACCTTTGGGGGAATGTTTAAACCCCACAGCCGTTTCCAATTCATGGGGTCATAGATTTCCCCTGTCAATTCTTCAGCCTCGTTACCTTCTTCCTCATCATTTGCCCTCTTCCTCCATAACTTGTAGGCATACTTTACTGTATAGATACCTGTCCTCTCCGCGCTCCATATTCGTCGATCTACTGCTGGCTGTCTTGGTATGGGTATACCTTCAATTCGAATCTGATCAGTAGTATTGAAATGAAGTTGGAGCAGGGATCGTTTCCATGTTCTAGTTTCAGGATCAATTAGATCACTCACCCGATTGCCCTCGTCCAGGTCCACCCTCGGTGAGGTCACACGAAAGCCATTCTCCTTCCCACCTGGAATCCATTTGTCCTCCCATATATTGATGTTAGTTCCATTACCGAGTCTCCATCGTAAGCCCTGCTTTACTAGGTTCTTTGCAGCCATTAAACTATGCCAAGTATAACTCGGATTGTTTCCTGTTGAGGCCTCCAAGATATCAGAGTTTGGATAGTACTTAGCTTTCAGGACTCTCGCAACCAGGGAGTCCGGATTGTTCATTAAATTCCAGACTTGCTTCCCCAGAAGAGCTAGGTTGAAACCGCCTAAATCTCTGAAGCCAATACCCCCTTCTTCCTTGGGTTTGCACAACTTCTTCCAGGCTTTCCACGGAATTCGTTTTTCCTCCCCCTTTTGCCCCCACCAAAACGTTGAAATCACTCTTCTGATCTCATCTAGCACCCCATCTGGCACCCGAAAAGCAGACATAGTATAAGTGGCTTGGGATTGAGCCACTGATTTGATTAATACTTCTTTTGCTGCAATGGAGAGCGTCTGACTTTTCCAATGCTTAACTTTCTTCCTTACTTTGTTGACCAGCACTCCAAAAGCTGCTTTCTTCTGTCTGCTGATTCTTGTGGGCAGCCCTAGGTATTTCGTGTGTTCTTCAACTCTTCTCATTCCTAAAATATTTCCCAACTCATCTACTTTCCTTTCTCCAACACTCGGGGAGAAGCTGATTTCAGATTTTTGAAGATTAATCTTCTGGCCCGATTCCATTTCATAGATCTTAAGAACTTCCTTTATTCTTCCACATTCCGTAGCTGTAGCTCTTGCGAACAGGACGCTGTCATCTGCAAAAAGCAGATGGGAGATGGCTGGTCCCCTGTTTGAGACTTTTAGCCCATGAATTGTTCCTCTGTTTGCTTCTTGTTGAAGTAAAGCTGACAGCCCTTCTGCACATAGCAGAAATAAGTATGGTGACAAAGGGTCACCCTGTCTGAGCCCTCTGCTAGGTCTGAATTCCACTGATCTATGGCCATTTACCAGTATAGAGTAGGTTACTGTACTAACACAGTGCATTATCAAATTCACCCATCTCTCGTTGAAACCCATCTTTAGCATTATTTCTTCTAAGAACTTCCACTCCACCTTGTCGTATGCCTTGGATATGTCGAGCTTTGCAGCCATGACACCTGTTTTAGCCTTCTTCTTGTTCTTAATCGCATGGAAGCATTCAAACGCTATCAAGACATTATCCAAAATATTTCTTTTCGGCACAAAAGCGCTCTGATTCTCCCCAACAACTGTTGGAAGAATCCGCTTCAACCTGTTTGCCAGAACCTTTGCCATAATCTTATATAGAACTTGGCAGAGGCTTATAGGGCGAAATTCTGAAGGCTTCGCTGGTTTTTTAATCTTTGGGATAAGAGCTATCAGGGTATAGTTTAATTGCTCTGGAAACCTTCCCATCTCTAGATATTGTGTCAAAGCCTTCGTCACCTCAGGCCCTACCACATCCCAGTTATGTTGAAAGAAGATCGCTGGCATTCAATCTGGCCCAGGGGCCTTCGTTGGTCCCATCATCTTTAGAGCTTCCCATATCTCATCCCCATTAAAGGGCTTCATCAAATCTTGATTCATCGAGTCAGTAACCCTTTGGTCCACTGCTGATAGGATCTGACTTGTTGTGGGGAGATCCCCTGATGTGAATAGGTCCTTGTAGTAATCTACCAAGCAGTTTTCCACCCCTTCTTGACCTATCCAGGCTCTTCCTGATTCATCCAATAGGCGCTTTATAGTGTTTCTTCTCCTTCTTTCTGAGGCTTTCCTGTGGAAAAACCCCGTGTTGCTGTCTCCTTCCTTTAACCAGTCCGCTCTCGATTTTTGTCTCCACTTGCATTCCTCCTGGTAAAGCACATCATCCAATTCCCTTTCTAATAATCTCCTTTGCTCCAGCATAGATTTTGTTCTTCTTCCTCGATTTATTTTCTTGAGCAACCGTTCAATTCTGTTTCTTCTGGCTTTGAGTGATCCAAAAGCCTCTTTGCTCCAATTCAGCAACTTTGTCTCACAATCTTTAATTCGATCCATGATAGAAGCATTCTCCTGATTTAGCCATCCCTCTCTAACCATCTCCTGAAAATCCTTGTGCTTCTCCCAATAGTGTTCGTACCTGAAAGACCATCCCCAAGTGATTTCCTCTTCCAGAGTGTTCAAAACCATCTGAATTGGTATGTGGTCAGCACCACACCTATCTAAGTGATTTAATCGCATATTTGGGAACAAACTCTTCCACTGTTCGTTAGCTACCGCCCCGTCCAATCTTTCTTCAGTGTAGTTTTCCTCATCGCGGTTATTTTCCCATGTGAAAATCCGCCCGAAATAGCCACAATCCTCGAGATCGCAATCTTCCAATGTATCTCGAAACATTTCCATCTCCCTTATATCTGGTTCCCTATTTCCACTCTTCTCCAAATGATCAGCAAGGAGATTAAAATCCCCCATAACTAACCAAGGGAAATCCACTTGGTGGTGAAGCTGCCTTAGCAACTCACAACTCTTGTTCTTGTTTTTACCCTCAGGCCATCCGTAGAAACCTGTGAATCTCCATTCTGCCCCCGTCAGTTGATGTTTTACTTTTGTATCTATATGATTTCTCGATTTGGACATAACCTGCACTTGCACCTCAGCTTTCCACATCAGGAGGAGCCCCCCGCTCTGTTTATCCCTGCTGACACTCCGTCTCCATCATGATAACCAAAAGTCTTAATCTTTTCCTTCCACTCTTTTTCATGTTGTTTTGTCTCCATCAGGAAGACAATGTCGGGATCATATTGGTGAAGCAACCTCTTCACCTTTCCAACTGCCAAGGTTTTCCCAAGCCCTCGACAGTTGTAACTTAGTAGACTCATTGGGCTCGGCGGCCCTGCTCTCCTGCAGGGTCCGCCTTATCGCCATCCATATCATTTATGCCTCCTTCTGTCACCTTTGTTGTCATTTCGGAGAATACTAGGATTCTGGCTTTCTTATTTATTAGATTGTCCTCCTCCATTGGAGTAGGTGCCCCCCCTCTATCCCCTTGTGTCCTCTTTTGGGGTGTCACTGCCACTCCTCCTCCTTCTCTAGGCTTTGTCTGCTCCTGCCTCCTCCAGCTTTTCACTATTGGTTTCCGGTTCTCCCTTCCTTCCTGTTTCTCCATGAGTAGTCTCTCAACTGCACCTCCTCCCAACCCATATCTCAGCTGTCCTGACTGTTCTTTTTGTTGTCTTTCCACTGAGGTCTCCTTTTCAGACTCCAAGGAGATATGGTTTGGTAGCTTTTGCACTGTTTCCTCAGTTTCCTTCACATTTGTGTTCTGAGTCTTTGCTTCTTTTCCTTTATCAGCTTCTGTGGTCTGCTGCCCTGCGCAGCCATCAACCTGCTTCTTTGGGTCAGTATCCATACTCATTGCCTCTGGTTCTTTTTGTTGTCTCACAGGTTGATTGGATCCAATGCTTTCAACTTCAAATTTCTGACGTAGCTGTTGCCAAATGTCCGCTTCCATCCTCTTTGACCCTGAATGCAACCAGTTTCGTGGAGCTGCCCTGAGATCAAAGCCAAAAGGGTCTGTTGGCAGAGCTGATGGTTGAGGGCACTTGATTTTGACATGTCCGATTCTCCCACAGGAGTGGCAGAACAGAGGTAGCTTTTCATACTTCACCTGGTATTCTACTAGTCGTCCTCCAATGTTCAGCTTGAGCTTCTTCTTTAGTGGGTTGTTTATAGATAAATGTACTCTCAATCTCATGTATTCTTCCCACATCTTTTCTGCACCATTGTCAAAGTGCACTAATTCTCCGAACCTCTTAGCAATCTTTTCTGCCATTGATTGAGTTCTCAACTCAGCTGGAAATCCTCTAAGTTGTATCCATATATCTATTTCGTGCATGTCTTCCGGCGTGGGCTTCTTTATCATCCAGCTAGCCTTAAACACCATGATGCTGCTCTCATAATGCCATGGTCCTCCATAGCAGACCTTGTTACGGTCATCAAAATCCAAGAACTGAAACGCAAAGAGATTGTTCTGCAGATCCGTGATCTGGTAGGTTTTCTTCAGTCCCCACGCTTTAGATAGAGCTATTTTCATTGATTTAATATTTGGTTTCTTTTCTGACACTAGGCGGCCAATGAGCCCTAAATGGCGTACAGCTTCCATTCTTACCACATCAACATCAGCGTCCTCAACCTCCAAAGGCTCCTCATCATCCTCCTCCAGGGTAATCTTGTTGAGTTGATCCTCAATCGCAGTAGGCCGATTGAGATTGTCTTGTGTCGATTCCTCCATCAATGGTATTACATCACTACCATTGCTTGTCGCCATTATGCTTGCTTTCTGAGTGCTGAGGACGCAAGAAGGCGTAGACAGCACGTCACAGGGGTCGCTTTCCACTCGCCGGAAACAGTATCACTCCTTCTCGAAAAGGACTTGGTCGCTATTCCAGAGATTGGAGATCTGTGATTCGATTTGTGTAATCTGATCAAGGAAAACTAGCTTCTTAAACGCTCGCTAAAGCCTTCTCCTTCTCGGACACCGCTAGGGTTTCCGCTGCTCTCCTAAACCCTCGCTAAACGAGAGATTTTTTTTGAATGGAAAGTGACCTTTACTTGTGTGAGATGAACAAAATAGGGAACGATAATTTAGGAGTGGAGTAGGGCAGTAGTGTAGTATCCACGCGCGGCACGACAATTGATGGCGGAGACACTCTTGACGTGGCAAAAACTTCTTCACCTTCTACTTTCTCTCTCTCTCTCTCTCTCCTATCCGTCATCGGTTGTTCCATTTAATTTCCCAACCATTTCCACTGCTTCTTCTGCGGGTGACCATTCTTTTCGCCTCTCCGGCAATGGCCAAGCTCCTCCTCCTTTACTCATCCCCTCATTTCACCCTCGCCGGTCGCCGAACCTTCACTTCCCTTCTCCTCTCCAAACCTCACGACTCCCTCTCTCTTCCGCAGTCAGCCATCCGTCGCCGCCGATTGACTGTCCCGTCCAGTCCTCACTCACCATTGGATTATGGATTTCGCCGCGGGAACTTGTCTGTTAACGCATTTGATTCCTCAGACGAGACCAAAACAGGAGAAAAGGGGAAGGATGATGATAAAGAGAAGACAGAAGAAGCTGAGGAGTCTAAAACTGCAACGGCTAAGAAAACCAATGTCGATTACCCTCGGGGGGATTTCGAGTTTCGGGAGATTGGGGCTTGGACTCGATTTCTCGTTAAGCTACGGATGCTAATTGCTTATCCTTGGGAGCGAGTCCGCAAGGGCAGTGTCCTGACTATGAAATTGCGTGGCCAGGTTTTGAACGCTGCAATTTGCTTCATGTTTCTTGGGTGTTCCGACGTTGAAATTGCTTGTTTCTTTTCTATGTTCAGGTATCTGATCAGCTAAAGAGCCGTTTCTCGTCAGGGCTATCTCTGCCTCAGATTTGTGAGAATTTTGTAAAAGCTTCTTATGATCCTCGCATTTCTGGTATTTATCTACATATAGACTCCCTAGCTTGCGGGTGGGGTAAAGTTGAAGAAATACGGAGGCATATATTGGATTTCAAGAAATCAGGTAGAATCACAAACACCTTTCACTTCTGTTTCTATATTCCTCTTTTTTCGTCTACTGCTGAATTCCCAGCTCTGTTTATGGAGGAATTTCCGTCTAGTGCCAGCTTCCTTATTTTATGTTTATGTTTCTTTGTGTTAGCATAGTGGAAAGACATTGCGGCTGTCAATAGTTCTAGGGTTTAGTGATTAAGTTTCAGATATGGCTCAGGTAAATTCTTTTTCAATATATGATGGGTAGGGAGTATGAGTATCAACTTTAATTTTGTGGAGAACTTTTGTTTCCGTTGCAAGTATTATGCTTCGAAACCGAAAATTCTTTGATATTGGCGGTTGTGGATCATTTCTTTTAGCTTTTGTGTTTTGTGGACATTTGTAGGTAAGGTCATAGTTGCCTACACCCCTACTTGCAGGGAGAAGGAGTATTATCTTGCTTGTGCTTGTTCGGAGATATATGCCCCTCCAAGTGCATATTTCTCGTTATATGGCTTGACTATTCAAGCATCCTTTCTCGGAGGTTAGTAAAGTTAATGTGCCAGCATTCTAGTTATAATATGTGCTCTGGAACCTTTTGAACCAAGATGACATTTCTTCTCCCCATCTATCTCTCTCCTTTTAACTCGTTGTTTTCCTTCTTGTTTTGGATGATTTATAGCCTTTTAAGCTACTATGCGTAATGCTTTTCTGGAATCGATAGCTAAACAATTTCTCTTGTTTTCCCTTGTGTTTACTTGGGTTGAAAGGCTAGCTAAAAATTTGTCAGTGCAATTTTCTGCTTTGTAGGTCTTTTTGAGAAGGTGGGAATTCAGCCCGAAGTTCAGAGGATTGGTAAATACAAGAGTGCTGGTGATCAACTAACTCGGAAAACCATGTCGGAGGAAAATTGTGAGATGCTGACTGCATTGCTCGATGACATATATGGGAATTGGTTGGAGAAAGTTTCTTCTGAAACAGGTGCCTTTAAATTTCGAACTTTGTTGATTTGTGCAGTGTCAAATATAAACTCTAGGCTTTCATCTACCTCTGACAGGAAAGAAAAGAGAAGATTTGGAGAACTTCATTAATGAAGGAGTATACAAAGTTGAGAGGCTGAAAGATGAAGGCTTAATAACGGGCATACTCTATGACGATGAGGTACTGTCTGAGATAATTATTGTCTGTGTAATCATCCTCCATAGTTGGTTGCTGATTGTACACACCAATGTGTTTGCTTTCCACTTTTACTCTCAAATTTTTTTTCTCAAATTTAAGTTTTAGTCAAAACAAACACGCTGTAGGGTCGTTTGGATGGATCAATTCGAAAACGAGACAATTTGACCAATTGTCTCATTTTGCAAAACGAGTCAATTAAAATGAGTAAATTCTAATTACCTTCCCCTGTACATGGGCGCTGGGTCATGTTTAGGCAGACACATGCACGTTTCATACCCATTTTATTTCGTGCCGTGCTTGGCACGGCCTGTGAGTTTTCGTGTCGTGTCGTACCAGCCAATTTGTTAATTTTGCTAGCAAACGAGTCAATTTGGTCCAATAGTCTCCTAATGAGACGATTGTGTTAAATTGATCTTAGTTCCTTCTGTGGTGATGAATTCTATAAAGAAAATCAGAAGGCCACTGTATCCTCAGTTCATATGCAGGTTGATTTGTAGCTGCTTTATGCTTGAATCAGATGTATCAGCTGCTGGACAGTGGACACTCTGAATATTTACACGCAATTGTTATCCCAAAAGTTGAAAAACGAGGAGAGGATTGCAAATCTGAACCATTGCCTAATTATTTACTGAATAATACGGGAACTGTTTCCGGTCACACCACTTTTGATCTGAACTTCTCTATCTTGTATTTGGGGATTGATGCTAAACCATACAGGTCATATCACTGTTGAAAGAGAAACTTGGAGTTCAGAAGGAGAAAGTTCTTCCTATGGTTGATTACAGGTTGTCTACCATTATGAATAATCTCTAAAGTACATTGATTACTGATCTGTTAAATCTTAGGGTTCAGTCAAGTTAGACTTCTTGAATCCTGTTCCTGGTCTGTTACTGAGTGTTTAGTGTGTTTTCAGCCTCTTCTCTGCTTGTGGAATTAAATAATCAGTACTGATTGTTGAATATTCCATATTTAAGTATTTCTTTCCATTTCCTTGCTGGTTTCTGCAGACAACCTTGTCATTGGGAGTTCTCTTCCTTTAATAATCAATTACAATGTGCAAACCCTTCAATGGAGCTGCCTACAAGCCAAATCTTGCAGGCACCTTTTCTGTCTGGTTGAGACGATTTTTCTGGTCTTTAGCACACTGTTAGATGTGTTATTGGAACTATGAGTTTTGTAGGTTCTGCACAGAAAAGCATGATGTATTATTTATATGCTTCTATTGACACTGATCTAATAGCATACTGCTCTCAAGGGGAAAAATCACCTTTCTATCTGATCTTTAGAGCTATGTGTCTCAGAAAATTTATAAAACCTTTTGGGTTTCAGGAGGTATTCTCGAGTTAGGAACTGGACCCTTGGTTTAGTTGGTGGAAAAGACCTAATAGCTGTGCTCCGAGCATCTGGGAGCATCAGTCGTGTTCGGGGTCCATTAAGTTTACCTGGTTCTGGAATCATTGGGGAGCAATTTATTGAGAAGCTTCGTTCGGTGAGAGGTAATATCTAAGTGTGTTAAATTGAGATGCTGTAATTATTGACTGAAAGGAACTTGTGTATCTGATGTTGGCTAGAAGTCCTAGATCGCGTCTAGAAAGGTATTTGATAATATATGCCATTTCTAAGTAATTTTACTCCAAAGAATGATCTAATCCTGAAATTTTCTTGATTTAGCTTATTTAGTGGCCAAACTAGTTCGAACAGGAAACTTTTGAACTGCAGAAAGAAACTAAGGAAATGATATCACAAGAAAATAATGAAATCAGTACCATTAGGTTTTCTGCCTAGCTCACTCTAGTGAGCTCTATAAAAGTGATTTTCGGGAAGCAATGACTTCATCTCCGACATTGGGCTCATCCTGCCCCTTGTGCTTTATTGCTTCTAATTGCAATCTTCCTTGCCAAATAAACAAGGAACTAATAAGTTTCATGCAGCACTTGTTACTCATTGTCTGGGTCATTAGTTCTGTTTTTCACCTGCCTATCTGACTGAAACTTTTGTGCAACAATGTTGTTTATTACTAGTTCTTCGAAAAAACAACTTCGTTACAGGACCAGTCTGAATTCCATGTCTTTTGAATTTCTTATATGATTGGTGGTCTTTGTCATTCTGTGGTAGTGTTGTTGTCTTACTACTAGTAGTCTCTACTTTGAATGTCTTCAGAATCTAAAAGATATAAAGCTGCTATCATCAGAATTGACAGTCCTGGAGGTGATGCTCTTGCTTCGGATTTGTAAGTACGGACCGTATTTATGCATGTATGGGCGCTTTGGTGTTGGTGAATTGTGGCAGAATGTTAGAAACACGTTTTCTAAGGAAAACGAGTTTCTATATTATCATTATTATTAGGTTTTATTAAATATGGTTAGTAGTCTTTTAGTAGAATTAGGTTTAGTATTAGGTTTTCTTATCTTTCGTTATAAATATGTACTTGCGTTTTATTCAGAATCAAGCAAGAACAATTATTCAGAAAAGTATCTCAAACCCTAATCTCTCTCAATTTCGTCACCTATCCCTAGGCCGACGGCCATTCTTCTCCTCGATCCCCAATTTCCTCTTCTAAATCCCTAATTCCCAATTCTGTTCTTCCCCAATTCTTTCCCAAATCCCTAATTCTATCTTCTCAATCCCTAAATTCCCAATATCACCCAATCCAAATCCCGTTAGAAACTTTGTTTCCTACACAGAACTTTTGCTTTATGTACTACCAACACTCTTTTCTGATGGTCATTTTTTCGACAGAATGTGGAGGGAAATCCGACTTTTGGCTGCTTCAAAACCCGTAATTGCTTCAATGGCTGACGTTGCAGCAAGTGGAGGGTACTATATGGCTATGGCAACAGATGTCATTGTTGCTGAAAATTTGACATTGACCGGTTCAATTGGAGTGGTTACAGGTAAACTTGATGTCTATGCTTCTGTAGAAGAAAATTGTAAATTTATTAATGATAAACTTGCATTGCCGGAATTTTTGTGTTACCTACCCCCAGGTTTATTAGCAAGAAACATGATGTCTTGCGGTACTACACAAAGCGTCAGAGTACAAGGAAACAAAATTGCTAAAAACATCCATGTCTTTGTTCTAAATTTTGACTTTTGAAATATTGTTCTGAAAGCTAGCCTTCATTCATCACTGCAGCTAATATTTTGTGACTGTTTGGTAGTAATTTGGTACGTGAGAAAGCCTCCTTTCGCCTTTTTCTCTTGTCTCATATCCAAACAAAACTCCTGCTTGTAGGAAAGTTCAACTTGGGGAAACTTTATGAAAAAATCGGGTTTAACAAGGAGATAATATCCAGGGGCCGATATGCAGAACTTCTTGCAGCTGAACAGCGGCCTTTCAGGTGAGTGGCCCTGGTTCTTATGTTTATTTGCGTAAAATTTGAACTCAAAAGGGCGGTTTCCAGTCTCTGTACGTAGTTGTTTATGGAAATGTTTACTAATGCCCGGTCCTGTATCTTTACTTTCTTATGTTGAGAACTCAAAGTGGACCTTCTTTCCTTCACCATTTCTGTTCCGACGCTAAAATGTGATGAAATCTAACATTTTTATCTTCCAGGGCAGATGAAGCAGAACTATTTGAAAGATCCGCTCAAAATGCATATCAGCAATTTCGTGACAAGGCAGCATTTTCAAGATCGATGGATGTGCGTTTGCCCAATAATACTATTTTTCTGCGGGTTTTGTTATGAATAAGTGGGAAAAATAACAACAGAGCAATAAGCCAGCTGCGAATAACTGATGGCTAATATTTTTTTTCTTGCACAAGGTGGATGAGATGGAAAGCGTAGCACAAGGGAGAGTATGGACTGGTATACAAGCAGCATCACACGGTCTAGTGGATGCAACTGGTGGTCTTTCACGAGCTATCGCTATTGCCAAACTGAAAGCCAATATACCTCAAGATAAACCAGTAAGGCTGTTGGTTAAGTGCTTTTTATTCTCATTTTACGTGCCAGCAGATTTCTGTTAATTATGGCTTCTGTTCAGCGGTTGACATATCATTATTATCATGGTTTCTGCGACTGACTAGGTAACCCTTGTTGAGATGTCGAGGCCATCTCCCACGCTACCAGAACTTTTGAGCGGGATCGGCAGTTCTATAGCTGGGGTCGACACAACTCTAAAAGACCTTCTGCAGGAGCTGACGGTTTCCGAAGGAGTTCAAGCCCGGATGGATGGAATAATGTTCCAGAGACTGGAAGGTGGAGCTCCATACGCCAACCCCTTTATTAATCTGATAAAAGATTACCTAGGTTCCATATGACACCCCAAATGTGGAATATATTGTATCCTTGGTTTGCCAGGTTAGTTAGTTCGATTGTATTCAATTATAGTTTTTACCCGTAGAAAAAGTAGCTCTTGGAAATAACTTAAACTGCTATGAGATTGTCTTGCTAGGTGTGGATGGGGATAGAGTTTGGGAAAAAAGATGGAAGAGATATTCAATATTTGGGTAAATACAATAGCCAAATCTTTGAAACGAACTAATAGTTAGACTTGTCAAAAACAAAATAATAGACAAATCATTAAATTTTCACACCGTTGGTTGATTGTAATGTAAAACAAGTTTATGAATTAATTTAATCGCTTGTACCTTTCATTTCTAAACTTTTATCTACAACACATGGTAAAACATAAAATATAGTGTGGAGAAATGAGTAAGGAAGAAAAAGCTGGAAAATAGCAAAGTACATTGAGAGCGAAGAAGTGCAAAAAAGAAAGAAGAAGCTACTCTTAAGATGTCTTTGACTATATACTAGTTTAACTATAGAGAAATCAAGATTACCCTTCCTAATAGCATATCAAAAGGTAGAAAAAGACATAATGACATCATTTTGAGGCACAACTGAATGTTGACTAGGCGCCACCCAAGATACAACGTGATCGTGACGCCTCATCTGCTACTTTTTGCCAAGGCGAGACGTTTTCCTTCTAACTTGTGTCTAGGCAAGTTTAAGCGAGCGCCTAGGCGTGCTTTCTAGAACCATGTAATTTATTAATTTCAATCTTATTATTTATTGATATTCAAAACAACAAAACAAGAAAATAAAAAACAAATCATTTTATCCTCACATCTCCCCTAGTGTTGACGGTTTGGATATTATCCACCCGTTATTATTTTGGAGGATGGTCCTCTACTTTTATCCAATGGTTCATAAAAATGATCCATTAAATTAAAAGTCCAGATCTGTTAGGAAAATATATAGTGAATTATGGAGCCCATGGACGAAAAGCAATGACAAGTAGGCCTTTGTGTCTAATAATATTTAACTTACACATACTATGTACAAGTTGTATATGTATATTTTGGGGTAACAAAATATATATTTGTATTGAACAAACATCATATTTGTACCCGACAAAAATACACATTAGAAAACATATTCGTATTGAACAAAAAACATATTTGTATTGAACACAACATATTCATCATTTTCTAGAATTTGCATTCCTACTCTCTCTCTTCCGTCAGCTCATTCTCGGCTCGTGGCCCCAAAAACATCGTTTATGCCCCCAAACAGTCCACTATCACTTTTTCTAACATATCCGAACCATTACTTTAATGGGAAATTTTCATGTACCAGTGGATGGGAGATGGAGAACCATCCTCCAAAAAATAACTGGTGGAAGATATCCAAATTCTTCATGTTTTTTAGTTCATTCCCGGACGGGAAGTTCGCTTCCAGCCACTAGCTTCTACCGCTAGCGCATGTGATTCGGGCTTAAATGTACACTTTTTATACTCGTTTCTCTTTGACGTTTGTGGCATTTGAGCTCCATAAAGGGGTGGTTTTACGCTAGGTTTGCTGTGTTTCAATGTGTTTCAGAGTCTAACAGGTGAAACCAACCCGCGAGTCGAAAGTTGGAAGAAATGGCGCGAGGACCGAGGAAAGAGGAGGAAACAACCGTTGTTCACGGTCTAAGCTGTGAGTTCACGGTCGCCAGGCCCGTGAACTGGAGCCACAAACCGCGAATTGAAGGGTGTCCAGAGTGGTTTCAAAAGTTACTGACGCCGAATCAGTTTCATGTTGATTGTGCATTGTGTGTGCTTGGCAATCTATTGTGCTACTCTAACCTAACTTAGAGAGAAACCCATTTTTTCTCAAGAGCCTCAAATTGAGCTGGGTTTTCTTAGGCATTCCATGCCTCCTAACTCGGTTAATGTAAGGCAAACCTCTAAACTCAAATTAGACACCTAGGTTAATTGTGAGTAAGCCGTCCAAACCACGATTTGAGGGAGAAGGTAAGTCAACCCTCTTTTGCTTGGGCCAAGAGGGCTACTTTCGTAGCCTATAATGCATTCCTTGGCCTAGCGAGTAAGAGTATAGTTTCCAACCACTGTTGCTCCCCCTAACGGTTCGCAATCCTCTTGTCGCGCACCAATTCATTCAATCCCACATTTCATGGTATTTAGTTAGGGGGAAACAACTCCCGAGTGAAGCTTCACACCAAGAGTTTCAATCCATTTACTTTTCAAGCCTTGCACTTTCAATCGTAGATTGTAGAGATTCTTACAAGCTTCATTTCGCTAGATAGTGTTTCAAACAATTAAAGTAGGGGTACATGGATGGGCCCGAGTTGATATTTAAACATACTTGCCCTATATTGCACCCAATTAACGTTTATACTTGCGCCTAAATTGTAACTGTGATATTCGAAGAGAGTCAAGTGTTTAGCGTCGTTGCCGGGGAGCTTTGGTCCACTATTTTAAAAAGATTGTTTGGTGTTAATCTAGCTTTTACTTTGAGTTTTGATTGTGTGAAGTGTTGCTTGTGCTAGAAGTGTTGTGGTTCTTTTAAGTGTGTTCAGGGAGGTATATGACCCGCAGCAATCCGGCACTTTTAGCACCACTAGACGAGAATCTCAACCGCACTCTCCAATTCCTAGCTCGTGAGAGAGAGGTAGCAGAATCAAGAAGGAGGATTGAAGAAAGGGGACATCAAGTTGGTCCCGGATTTGGAGGAGTTGAAGTAGAAATTGAAGTTGAGATGATAGGGAATCAACAGCGAGATGCTAATTTGCTTCAGAACCAAAATGCGGAAGCGGTAGCCGAGGAAGAACCAAGGACTATGGGCTGTTACATGGCCCCACTGGCAGTAGATATCCAATCTCCCATCCTACATCCACCCGTGGCCGCCAACAACTTTGAAATCAAGCCCGCTCTCATTACGATGATTCAAAACAATGCCTTGTTTCACGGGCTTGCCAATGAATCGCCGCGGGAGCATGTTCAAAGGTTTCTTGAGCTTGCGGGAAGCCTGAAGATTAATGGCGTCCCTGAGGAGACATTTCAACTGAGGCTATTCCCCTACTCTCTTGCGGGGAGAGCGCTCTGATGGCTCAACAACCTACTGGCTCGATCCATCACCTCTTGGGACTATTTGCTCAACAAGTTTATGACCCGATATTGTCCTCCTTCCAAGAAGGTCGTGTGGAGGAAGAATATCACTCAATTTGAGCAAGAGGAAGATGAGACATTGAGAGATGCGTGGGAAAGATTCTCGGACTACTTCCTTCAATGCCCTCACCATGGATTCGAGGAGCAATTTTGGATAGAGACCTTCTCTGGCGGTCTCATTCAAGATGACAAGATTCTCATCGACTCTCTTTGCCAAGGGAAGTTGACGAACATGACTACACCTCAGGTGAGCGAGTTGCTCGAAGACATGGCTATCAAGGGATACGATTGGGGCATGACGAGAAGTGGTAAGAGAAGCTCCGAAAGAGGAGTGCAAAGTGTTGGAGCAAGTGCTCCACTTGAAGCTAAGCTTGACAAGTTGATTGAGGTGATCCTTGAGGGCAAGAAGCAAGGGAAGATAGTGGTGATGTCTTGTGATTGGTGCTCTAGCACTAGTCATGAGATATCAGATTGCCAAGCGATGAAGGAGACAAGTACCCCCAAGGAGCAAGTGAGTTTCATTGCCAATGCTAGAGGGAACAACCCTTATAGCAACACCTACAACCCCGGGTAGCGCAATCATCCAAACTTCGTTGGTCTTCCCCTACCAATCCAAGACCTCCTAGTTTCCAAGGTCCAATGGGCAACTATCAACCTTGTCCGACTTACATCCAACAAAGGCCTCAGTTCCAAAATTCGAATTTCCAACAACCATACCAAGCACAAGGCGGTCAAGGGTTCCAACAACAGCAACAAATCGACAAGTTTACTAAACTTGAAGATCTAGTGACCACCTTTGTGAGCACAAGCTCACAGAAGTTCGAGAAGATTGAGCAATTCATGGATGTGGAAACGTCCAAGTTTACCTCGGTTGAGGCGGGACTCCGAAGTCATCAAGCAAGTCTTCGCGACACTCACAACTCATCACTTGCCTCCTCCCTAGTCTCCACTCTTCTCTCCCCCCAAAACCCTCTCTCCTTCCCGATCTGACCGCCAATCGGCCAATTCTTCCCTTCTTCTCCAAGAAAGTTGACTGTATGTTTTTTTTCTTACTAGCAAGGTATTGTTCCATTTTTTTTCCCCAAAAGAAGCGAGAGGGATAAATTAATAATTGAAGTTGAACACACCATGTGTTGTTGGTTTGCTACTCTATCACAAACAAAAAGGGAATGAATGAAAAACAAAGAATTGTGTGCTTTTATTTAGTGTAATTGTAATTTATTTGAATTTTCTAGATTGTTGTTTTATGTATGGATAATTTATAGAGGGAAATAGATATTTCATATTTGACTTTTATTTTGATAGGAACTTGTTATTGTAAAAAATTTTACCACAAAAATCCATGGGTACCCATGAACCCGCGGATACCCAGCGGGTTGGATTGGGTTTGAGTTTTCCTAACCCAGTGGTTTTTACCCCCACCACACGAAAAAGCATTATAAACCACCGTGAAAACGGTGGGCAATAGTCCATTTACGGTGGTTAACACTTTTACCCACCTTAGGTTTTCCGTGGTTAACTTCGTCGTGGTTGAAAGTCAGAACGGTGGTGGATACACTACAAGAAAAAGTTCATTTAATCACAGGAAATCCCGTGTTCAAAAGTACGTTTCCCGTGATTAATAAATTGGTCACAGAAAATTTACCGTAATATAAAGCTTTGTTACTACTTGTGTACCGTGACTAGTTAATTAGTCATGGAAAAAACCGTGTCTAATATCAAATTTTGGAGTACATATTCAAGAGAGAAAACATTTTAAGACGTGTTATGCTTCTTTTAAGACGGTATTAACCGTGACAAAATCATTTCCCTTGACTAGATGTCTATCATTTGTCACGGTATTTGCTGGTTTTCCGTTAAGTTACAGTATTTCTTGGTAGCTAGTTACAAAATACTATTCACATATCTATAGTTAAATGTAGTAATACATAATTAGAAAGGTCAACTCTTATTGGATGACATTATAATATTATTGTTAATACAACTCATTCAAATACCACTTATTGAGCAATGTTAATTTATATAAAATTGTAAAGACTAACTATTGTAGCATGAAACTCCACCATAATGAAAATCAATCTACCAAATCATCTAAAAGTTACCTGAATCTTTGATCTATACTTCTACCAGATATTCTTGAGTAGCTGCAATAT